TGTTTATGATGCTGTTTGTCTGTGTGTGAGGGGGGTGGGGTGGGGGTGTTTGTGGGGGTAGGGGGATGTGGGGGTGGTAGGGAGTGTGCGTGTATGTGTTGTGTGTGGGGGGGGGGGGAGTGTGTGTGGGAGGGGGAGTTTGTGTGAGTAGGGGGGGAGTGTGTGTGTGGTGTGTGTTGTGTGTGTGTGAGAGAGAGAGAGAGAGTCGGTGTGTTGTTGTGTGTCTATATGCCTGTCTCGGTTCTTCCCCCCCCCTCTCTCTCTCTATCTATCTATCTATCTCTATCTATCTATCTACTGTATCTCTCTCTCTCTATCTATCTTTCTACAGTCTCTCTCTCTCCATCTTCTCTCTCTCTCTCTCTCTCTCTCTCTCTCTCTCTCTCTCTCTCTCTCTCTCCCTCTCCCTCTCTCTCTCTCTCTCTCTTCTCTCTCCCTATATATATATATATATATATATATATATATATATATATATATATATATATATATATATATATATAAAACATTCCACATACTAACCCCCCCCCCCATTCTCTTCTGGGAACTTCAATGGGGGAAAAAATGAACTCGTGCTCCTCTCTCCTTGAAGGCAAAATTGACAGCCCTTAAAGTAGCTCGTTAAAATAATTTCGCGCCAATCACTCGTCTCCTGTTTTTAGGTATTCTTTAAGGGGGGGGGGGGTAGGTATTTTTTTAGGGGGAGTATAATGGAGGTTTATTAAATCTCTTTGAGAGAGAGGGAGGGAGGGGTAGAGGGAGAGGGAGGTAAAGGGGGGGATGGAGGAGTGAGAGAGGAGGGGTAGAGGGGTAGAGGGAGAGGGGTGGGTGGGTGGGAGGGAGGGAAGGAAGGGAGAGAGGGAGAGGGAGGTAATAGAGGGAGAGAGGGAAGGAGGAGTAGGGGGGGGGGTGAGAGGGCAATTATATAACTTCTCCTAATCCGTGTCTTTGCTTGTGTGTGTGTTCATGGACATGTGTGTGTGCATCTGCATGTGTGTGTGCGTGTGCATGGGCATATGCGCGCGCGCGCGCGCGTGTGTGTGTGGTGTGTATGTGTATGTGTATGTGTGTATGTGTGTATGTGTGTATGTGTGTGTGTGTGTGTGTGTGTGTGTGTGTGTGTGTGTGTGTGTGTGTGTGTGTGTGTGTGTGTGTGTGTGTGTGTGTGCGTGTGTGTGCGCGCGCGCTTGCATGTACATCTGCATCTGCGCGTATGTGCGTGTGCGTGAGGTGTGTGTACACGGTAATCACACAGCATTGCACAGCACTTGCCTGCGTCTTACGGTGCCTCCAAGGCCGTTTACACTACAAGTATCAGAAATTCTCCCAACTTGAAACACAACTCCCTGATAACTTACAAAAAACACTCTATTGACTAATTTTCCTCTACCTAATTATTATTTTTTCTTTGTATAATGTCTGTGTTTAATTTGTCGATTTTGATTAAATTCATTATCGTTAGCGTAGTGAATTGTGTTATTTTTGTTTTTGTTTTTTTTTCAGCAATTTGTTTGTCTGTGCCATGGCTTACCTACGCCCTTATTAAGTTATTATCAACAGCCTTGTTTACCTGTTCGAATTCTTTGTTATTTTTGGTGTTGTTTTCACTATTACGGTTATTACTGCTCTTACTACTATTCTTACTACTGCATTCTGTCGCTGTTACTACTACTTAAATTTCTGTTTTTTTATTGTTAATAAGTATAATGATAGTATGGCAACTAATACTCCTGTTATTAGCATCATTGTCATACTGATACTAATGCTGATGTACCTATTCGTACCATTATTATTATCTCAATCTCTCTCCTCTCTCTCTCTCTCTCTCTCTCTCTCTCTCTCTCTCTCTCTCTCTCTCTCTCTCTCTCTCTCTCTCTCTCTCTCTCTGTTTCTCTTTTTGTTTTTCTTGCTTCTTCTTCTTCCGTCTCTTCTCCCCCTCCCTCTCCCTCCCTTCCCTCTCCCCTCCCATCTCCCCTTTTATCTTCCCCTCCTCTCTCCCTTTCCCCTTCTCCTTCTTCTCCCTCTCCCTCCCCCTCCCCCTTCCCTCTCCCCTTCCCCCTATCCCTCCCTCCTCCCCCTCTTCTTCCCATCCCCATCCCCTATTCAGCTCCCTTTCCCACTCCCTCTCCTTCTCCCTCTCTCTTCTCCCCTATTCAGCTCCCTTTCCCTCTCCCTCTCCCTCTCCCTCTCCCTCTCCCTCTCCTCTCCCTCTCCCTCCTTCTCTCTTCCCTCCCCTTCCTCCTTCCCCTATCCAGCTCCCTCTCTCACTCCCACTCCCCTCCTCCCTCTCCTGTTCTCTTCCCTCCCCTTCCTCCCATTCCCCCTCCCCTCCCCTTCCTCTCACCTCTCTATTAATCCTATCATACGTTTCTCTACCAATCAATTTCTTAATTTTTTCTCGAACAATATTACACGACTGACCTAGCTAATATCCATCAATTTTTACTCGAAAATATTGACTCTTTTAAGTACGTCAAAACGTTTGATATTTCTTGTTTAAACCGCATTTATTTTTTTTTTCTTTTTTGGGGCTCATGACTTGACGATTCTTAATCATACGTTTATTTATAGATATCAATTTGATGCAGTAAAAATTCTCATACACGAAATGCAATTAGATATTAAGCAAGTGTGGATATTTCGTTAAAACTTCATGAAGTCATTTGCCAAAAAAAAAAAAAAAAATCGTGGGAGAGAAATCGAAAAAAAAAAAAAAATTATCGTTTTAAATCCATTGCAAAAAGTAGTGTAAATATTCGTATCATAACAACTCCTGTAGTTTCAAAATAACTCGTAAAATTGTTATCAAATCAGATGTTTTTAAAAGATATAAGTACCTGCGCTTTTCTCAAATAAACAAACAAAAGAGAGACTTAAAAGGGTTTGAACACGACGTAAAAGGAAATTCGATTCCATTTAATGTATAGACGACCTTGGACGCTCTTAAAACAAGCGCCGAGAACTCTTGTTTACACCTAAACAGTAATGCCATTCTATTTATTTTTACGCTCTATTTAAGCTTTATCGTTTCATCACTTCACTTGGATGGCAAGTAATTTGATATCATACACGCACACACACACACACACTCACACACACCACACACCGTACAAAAAAAAACACACACACACACGTTACACACACGCGCGCACACACACGCCATACACACACACACACACACACACACACACACACACACACACACACACACACAAACGCACACACACTCTATAAAATACTCGAATATAGGTACATTTGATAAAGAAATTCCATAAATATATACATCCTTACTTACACCTTAATTAAAATATTGAATAACGATAAATATAAATCATTGCATACAAATCGCATTGTAAAAAAAAAAATTGCAGAGAGAGTTACGAATATTAGCTAGGAAAAAATATTCATTTATTCTCTGAGGAAAATATAATTATAGGTCTAAAATAAATAAAAGAGACGGAGGGAGGAGGGATGGAAGGAGAGAGAGAGAGAGAGAGAGAGAGAGAGAGAGAAGAGAGAGAAGAGAGAGAGAGAGAGAGAGAGAGAAGAGAGAGAGAGAGAGAGAGAGAGAAAGAGAGAGAGACAAGAGAGAAATTGAATGAATGAATGAGTAGGCATAAAATAAAACATGAGGAAAAAAACGAGACACAGAAAGAATAACAACGAAAAAAAAAGAAAAAGAGAACGAAAAAACAAACAAACAAACAAAGAAAAAACAAACAAACCCCCAAAAATCGACAAGAACACTTCATTAAGTTAATAATTAAAGAAGAGATTAATTCCCGTTGCAGCATCCACAAGCATCTCCACTTTACTCGCCAGACACGCTTTCTCTCTTGGAAGCGTCCGAATCCGTCGCCAAATACCAGAGTTAACCTTAGAACCTTGTAGAGTCTGTTGCCTTTACGTGTCGAAAGTTTCACGTTTGCAGGAGGGCGAAGGTCTGGTTCTCCGTGCATCGCTGCTGGTGCTATGTACAAAGATGTATTATGTATGTGTGTATGTATGTTTTGTTGTTGTTGTTGTTTAAGTGGAGGTATAAACAAGACAAACCACACTCGTCTACTTTTTTCTGAGGCGAAGGTCTGGTTCTCCGTGCATCGCTGCTGGTGCTATGTACAACGATATGTTATGTATGTGTGTGTGGTGTGTTGTTGTTGTTGTTGTTGTTTAAGTGGAGGTATAAACAAAACATACCATACTCGTCTACTTTTTCTGAGGCGAAGGTCTGGTTCTCCGTGCATCGCTGCTGGTGCTATGTACAACGATATGTTATGTATGTGTGTATGTATGTTTTTTTCTGTTGTTGTTTAAGCGGAGAGGTATAAACAAGACAAACCACACTCGTCTACTTTTTTCTGAGGCGAAGGTCTGGTTCTCCGTGCATCGCTGCTGGTGCTATGTACAAAGATATGTTATATGTGTGTGTATGTATGTTTTGTTGTTGTTGTTGTTTAAGTGGAGAGGTATAAACAAGACAAACCACACTCGTCTACTTTTTCTGAGGCGAAGGTCTGGTTCTCCGTGCATCGCTGCTGGTGCTATGTACAAAGATATGTTATATGTGTGTGTATGTATGTATGTTGTTGTTGTTGTTTAAGTGGAGAGGTATAAACAAGACAAACCACACTCGTCAACTTTTCTGAGGCGAAGGTCTGGTTCTCCGTGCATCGCTGCTGGTGCTATGTACAAAGATATGTTATGTATGTGTGTATGTATGTTTTTTGTTGTTGTTGTTGTTGTTTAAGCGGAGGTATAAACAAGACAAACCACACTCGTCTACTTTTTTGAGAGCTTTCAAACACGCGCTAGGATTCTCAAAGGCATTCTCTCTTCTACGCGAAAGGCCATTCGTCAAAACTACTATTTTCAGCGAGGACAAAATGGCTAAATAATTGCCTCCAAAAAAAAAGGAAAAAAGAAAGAAAAAAAAAAGAACAGCCTCTTGCGCAATGGCTTATGGCAACCGCGGTCGTGGGATTTCCTGTCGAGCGAAAAGACCGACTCTCTCGCAAGGAGTTCAATCGCTTCCATGAAAGCAATATCACACAAGACTACAAAAGCATCAAATCTTTGCCTCTTTATTGTGCTTCGGAGCAGACCGCGGGCAAGCTGGGCGGCTGAGGCGGCGCGGCGACCTCTGAGTTGCGTGAGGTAAATAAAAGAGAAATAAAATTGATAAATATATACATACATAAATAAAATAGATAAATAAGATGGAAACGAAAAACAACTAAACGACCGTGAGCAAGCGGAAGCGACGGCAGCGTCTACTGGGCTGTACCTGTGCGTCGTGAACCGGACATGCTGGAAGCTAGCGTCGGAGGGCGTCGCCGTGACGAAGGTGGGCGTCGGGCTGAGGAGGCCCCGCGCCCTCGCGATGGTGCCGTAGCCCTTGGAGGACGCCGGGCTGAGCTGCAGCCTGCAGGCGGAGGCCGACGGCGAGGGCGCGAGGTAGGCGCGGGAGCTGCTGGGCGTCGGGCAGTTGAGGGAGGTGGAGGCGCTGGCGTAGCCCTGCGAGGTGGAGGCGACGGCCACGTAGGTGGACGCGGAGGAGGTGGAGGCGATGGCCACGTAGGTGGAGGTAGTGGTGGTGGTGGCGGCGGTGGTGGAGCAGGCCGCGCGCGTGGCGGTGGCCGTGAGCGTGGTGGTGGGGTTGGTGACGGGGCTGCTGTGGCGCCATGACGGCCCCGGGTCCGACGCCAAGAAGAAACTGGGGACGCACTCGGCCAGCTGCTCGAAGCGCGACCGCCGATTCATGGTGCCGCCGTCGCCGCTGGCGCTGCTGCTCCCTGGCGCCACGCGAGAGGACGGCGCCCGCTCGCCTCCGCTGCTCGCAGCTGTCGACTCGATTTCCCGGCGCTTCGCTGCTATTCATACGCTGGAGGACGCGATTCCCTCGACCCTTCCATCTCGGCGGATTCGTATCGACATTTCGCTCAAAGGTGGTGCTTCCTCCTCATGGTGTTGTTTACATCAGTCAGAAACATCAAATAAAAAATAATCTTCCACGGAATTTAATCCTTATTCCACACTATATCACAGACATGAATATCTAACATTAAGGTCACTCATTTTGAGTCGTTAGCGTGTTCAACGGTCTTGCAAAAAGAATTACTGTTTTCTATTCCTGTAATACAAAAACGTCTTTTTAAAAAATCACACATTAGTATCTAAAAAAAATACTACTAACCTTTAAAAACACCATTTAAATAGGAAAAAAAAATAAAAAATAAGACAACATGCCCTTCATTTTTTTCACTAATATCAAACTGTAAACAATTACAGAAAAATATACTCCAAAATACACCGAAATACTAACATCAAAATATTTCCAATTTGAAAATTCCCTTACAGAAAAGAGACAATACCCGGAAAATGAAATTAAATATCAAAAAAGTAAAAATAAATCCCTACTAAAAAGAATGATAATAATACCCCCAAAAAAAGACGACGAAATACCAAAATAAAAGACATAAAAAACTACGAAACAAATCATAACTTTAAAAAATAAAAAGAAAAAAAATACGAAACCAAATCATAACTTCAAAAAAAAATAGTATAGAAAGATAAAAAAAATAATAATAATAAATAAATACGAATGCAAATCACACTTAAAAAAAGATAGATTAAAAAAAGAAAACAAATCAATGAAATACCCAAATCAAACCATTTAAAAAAAATACATCCCTACAAGAAACAATATCACCAAAAAAAAGAGACAAAAATAGAACGAAAACAATACTTAATCACCTTGACATAATTCCCGGAGATCAAAAGTAAAGTCACGTCACTTAAAGCACATTCGTATTCGTGGACTGAAAATGTATGTGTACCGTTAGTTGTTCGTGTGTGCGTTTGGTGTGTGTACATGTGTGTAAGGGAGGAGGGAGGGAGGGAGGGGGAGGGAGGGAGGGAGGGAGGGAGGGAGGAGGGAGGGAGGGGGAGGGAGGGAGGGAGGGAGGGAGGGAGGGAGGGGAGAGGAAGAGAGAGAGAGAGAGAGAGAGAAAGAAGAGAACGAGAGAGAGAAAGAGAGAAACGAGATAAGGGGGAGGGAGAGAGAGAGAGAGAGAGAGAGAGAAGAGAGAGAGAGAGAGAGAGAGAGAGAGAGAGAAGAGAGAGAGAGAGAGAGAGAGAGAGAGGAGAGAGAAGAGAGAAACGAGAGAGGGTGGGAGAGGGAGAAAGGGGGGAGAGGGAGAGAGAGAGAGAGAGAGAGAGAGAGAGAGAGAGAGAGAGAGAGAGAGAGAGAGAGAGAGAGAGTGGAAGAGAGGGAGTAAAGGGCAGGCGAGCGAGTGGGCGCAGAGAGAGAGAGAGAAAATGAGAAATTACATTCCAGACAGACAACCACAATTCCTATTCATAAGATAATAAACATGTCAATCTTTCTTTACATCTAATTCCCTTTTTATCAATATCCATCATATTTCTTCTCCCCATTTATCTTTCTTGAAAATATCGCTTATTCTATCTATTACCATCAGTCACTCCGTCGGTCCTCATTGCCATCAATCACTTTTTTCTATCTTCGATTTTTTTTTTTGTTTGTTTATCGTCCTTTCTTTAACTTTCCATTCTTCGTACTTGCCTATCATGGTTTTTCTATCTATTGCTTCTCTATTGTATCTACCTACTGTCTATCTATTCATCTATCTCCATAGAAAAAGTGGAAGATAAGGAAGGGTGAGAGAGAGAGAGAGAGAGAGAGAGAGAGAGAGGAGAGAGAGAGAGAGAGAAGAGAGAGAGAGAGAGAGAGAGAAGAGAGAGAGAGAGAGAGAGAGCGATAGAGAGAGAGAGAGAGAGAGAGAGAGAGAGAGAGAGAGAGAGAGAGAGAGAGAGAGAGAAGAGAGAGAGAAGAGAGAAGAGAGAGAGAGGAAGAGAGAGAGAGAATTGGAAAGGATTTCAGGAAGTAGTAGTAAGTAGTGAGGAAGGAAGTGGGGAGAGGGGTGTTACGCGGACTGTTGGGGGGGGCGGAGGCGGAGGGATGGAGGGGGAGTTCCAGCGGAGTAAGGAGTGGTAAGGGCGGGAGCAAGAGAGGGGAGGAGAGGGGGAGACGGGAATCGAAAGAGGAGGCATGGGAAGTAGAGTTATAAAAGGCGTGGAAGGCATGGAATCGATTAAAAAACATGTCTGAAAACTTTTCTCTCGCCACTTTCCAAAGCACTGAATTCCTCAAATCGCAAACAAGCCATCACATCCAAACTATCAATTAATCAAAAAATTACAACACAACCGAAACAACCTATTTACCATTCCAACTTCTCATGAAAAACACCCATCTTCCCCATTATTGTCTTCAGTAAACACACTCTTTCCTCATACATTTATTCAATAAACATACTCTTTCCTCATTATTTTCTTCAGTAAACACACTCTTTCCTCACACATTTCTTCATTAAACACTCTCTCCCAACCAACCAACCATTCCCATTTCACATTTTAAAAATCCCACCCACTCACCCTCATTATTTTCTCCAGTAAACACACTCTTCCCTTAAAAAAGAAAAGAAATACGCCAAAGGTAACGCAATACCCACATGCCAATCACACGCACGTTATTTATATCCCAGAAACCTCGTGACGCACTTGACAAGACGGCCGTGGGGAAAACCGGATGGACGCAACGCCACTCTCTTCTTTTCCAGCACCGGTTCGTCCTAGATTTTTTTTTTTTTTCCCTGGTAGGTTTCCCGTCTCTGTCTTGTCTGTCTGTCTATCTGTCTGTCTGGTGTGTCTGTGTCTGTGTCTCTGACACTCTATCTCTCTCTCCTCCCTCTCTCCTCTCTCCCTCCCTTCTCCTTCTCTCCTTCTCCTTCTCCCTCCCTTCTCCCTCTCCCTCTCCCTCTCCTCCTTCCTCTCCTCCCTTCCTCCCTTCCTCCTTCCTCCCTTCCTCCCTTCCTCCTTCTCTCCTCCGTCCCTCCTCTCTATCTATCTCTCTTTTCTCTCCCTCTATCTATCTATCTCTATCTCTATCTATCTATCTATCTATCCCTCCCACAACGATAAAGATTGGTTCCCTCCTGCAGACGCGGTTCTCCTGCGAAGGAGGTCAAGGCGAACATGTCCGAAGGACCGCCTGGACGTCTGCCATAACGCGCGTTGGCGACGACTCCCCTCCTCCCCTCCCCCCCCCCCCCCCCCCCCCCCCCCCCACCCCCCCCCCCTTCCGACCCCCTTCCTACGTTTTAGTGTGTCTGCCTGGTTACTGAGGGAGGGAAGGAGGGGGCGGAGTCTCTCTGTGTTGTTAAATGAGTTGTCCGTCGGCGCTGGTATGTCTTTATTGTTCTGTGTCTAAGTCATTTTAATACTACAGACTCTCCCTTTCCAGCACAAAAAAAAAATAAATAAATAAATAAATAAAAATTAATAAAATGATAAAATAAAAAAAACATACCAAAAACAAAAAAATTATAATAAAATGATAAAATAAAAAAATATATACCAAAAGCAAATATATAGTAAATAAACCCTACAAGAAACAAGGAAGGAAAAATAAGTAGCCAATGATACAAGCCGTAAACTCATAAAATTGCCTAGGCCTATTCGCCGTCGAGTAGGACCTTCACCCCACCCCCCCTCCCCGTTCTCCTCCTTCAAGGACGACCTGCTTCCGGTTGAATGAACTTTCCTGTTCTTCATTAAGCATTGTTCTTCACTTTGTTCATTCTGTTATTACTTATTTTTTGTGGGTGGAAATCATTCTTTCACAATACAATGATTTTCTCCGTGGAGTTAACAAGCCCACTTTTATTTTTTCTATCTCATTTCGTTACAAAAGAAGCACTTTTATGTTTCACTTTCATTCTTTTATTATTGATTTCTGGGAGGATGATTCGATTATTCATATTTTGGAAATAGAATCGTAATAAATATTCCACTCTTTTCCCGTCAGATCGTGTGAATCTATATCCAATTTTATTCACTGACTCCCTTTCAAAGTCCACTTTTCCATCGGATTAAACCACGTATCTCTCTCTATATATATATATCACCACTACATAAAAATCATCATCACCATCGTCATCATCGTCGTCATCATCATCATCATCATCATCATCATCATCATCATCATCATCATCACCATCATCATCATCACCAGCTCATCACCACACACGAACCGAACCCGAAACAGAAATAAAAACTTCCACTTACGCACTCCTCTATTTCCATCTTCCAAAAAACACGCCCGAGAGAAACCCACACACTTATCCCCTTCCTCAGAGTCCCCCCAGAGTTCGTATCCTTCGAGTAGCGCTCCTGAAGAAGGCCAGGGAGGAGCAGGCAACGCCCCACGGTCCCCGCCTCGAACCCTTTCCAGTCCCTTCAAACGTGCGGCGTGGCTGCAGCAAACGTCATTCCAGCGGTGCGGCGAACGAGGGGAAGAGAGCGACTACCGAGGGGAGAGAGAGGAGGGACTCAGAGGGGAGAGAACACGCGCGCACGAACTCACACACACACACACACACACACGCACACACGCATGTCGCCACCTCTTCTCCTCCTCCTCCTCCTCCTCAAAACGAACGCACGAATGTCATATATCTATTTATATAGCTATCTATTTATCTATCTATTTATCTATTCTCTCTCTCTTCTCTCTTCTCTCTCTCTCTTCTCTCTCTATATATATATATATATATATATATATAATATATATATATATATATATATTTGTAGGCATGAATAAGAAATCTATTTTCTTTTTTTTCTCTTTTTTTTTTTTAGCTTTTGAGGTTATTCTTAATCCCTCTTTGCTAAAGAAATTGAATATTTCTAATATCATCTATTGTGACGTCGACTTAATTCCCACTTCTTAAAGGGTGTTAAATCCCTCATGAATTAAGATTAAGAAGCGACGAAACGCCCCGCACAAACGTCAACAAAACACACGAACGCACGCACACTCCCCTTCCCCTCTACCCAACCCTACCTCTCTACCTTACCCCTTACCCAAACTACCCTCTCTACCCTCCCCTTCCTTCCTCCTACGCCCCCGTCCCTCCCTACCCTCCCACTCCTCCCTTCCTTCCTCCTACGCCCCCGTCCCTCACTACCCTCCCACTCCTCCCCACCCTCTCCCACCCCCCCACCCTCGTCCCTCCGTCCGTCCCGTGCGCGCACACACTCACATACGTACACACGCACGCACGCACACACACACACACCGGGATTCCCCAGGCCAGCAGATCCAGCCGCTTCCAGGAACTGCCGCTGCCGACGCCGCAGAACCACGGACCAGGCAGACCTCCTGCCAAGACCCGAAGACTCTCTCGATCCTGCCAAGACGTCCTTCCCTCTTTCTTTAGCTTTATTATCGTTCTCGTTCTGGTTTTTTCTATCTTTCGTTTTCGTCTCTTTTTTTTTGGGGGGCGAGTTGGGTAGGAGGGTTTTTTTCCAGCTTTTGTTATTTTTTTTTTCTTGGCTCTTTTTCTTTTTTTCTCAATATCATTTCATTTCTTATTCCGTCTTCCTTCTCTCTCTCTCTCTCTCTCTCTCTCTCTCTCTCTCTCTTCCTCTCTTCTCTCTTCTCTCTCTCTCTCCTATCTCTCTCTCTCTCTCTCTCCTTTCCGATTCCTCTTCGTCCCATTCTTACTTCAACTCCTTCCTCTTCTTCCTCTTCCAAACCCTCACCCTCACCCTCGTCCCTCTCCCTCACCCTTCCTCACCCTATTTCTCTCTCCCTCACCTTCGTCCTCGCCATTCTCCTTCACCCTCACCCTTCCCCTCACCCTTCCCCTTCCCTCTCCTCTCCTCTCTCCTCTCCTTCACCCACCCTTCCCTCTTTCCCTCTCTCCCGTAGAAGGAAACGGCAGATCATCTCTACAAGAAAATATTGCACAGACTTTGCAAAACGGCAACTAGGAGGAATGACGACGACTATGTTGCATGTGCAGTGTATAAGAAGCAATCGATGTTGCAGCACGAGAAGGTATACTCTCGATCATGGGAATTTTCTCCTGTCCTACTTCACGCTCGCGGCTGAATTTCGTGATTTCGTCACGTATTCTAAGCGATCGGTTCCCCTATTTTGGCGGTCATTATTACTTCTGTCTTTCCTTCTTTCTTTCTTTTTATCTTTTTTATTTTTCTTTGTGGCGGATTTAGTTTAGCTGTGACATTTTTCGTGTCTTTTTGGGGGGGGTGCTGTTATTTATTTGTGTGTGTGTTGTAAGGTAAGAGTTATGATGTTTAGGTTTTGGTTGAGATAATATTACGTCTTCCTTATATCCAAGATTGCATGCGTAGGCTCATCTCGCAAGATTATGTGCATAGGCCTATCTTGCAACATTGCATGCATAGGGTTATCTCGGATATCTCGAAAAAATTGACGAAACGAAAGGAAGAGATAGATAGAGAGAGAGAGAGAGAGAGAGAGAGAGAGAGAGAGAGAGAGAGAGAGAGAGGAGAGAGAGAGGAGAGAGAGAGAGGACAGACAGAGACAGAGACAGAGACAGAGACAGAGCGAGAAGGAGAGAGTGAAACTTCCCTCTGAGGCTTTCACCTAATAATAAGAAGCGATTTATGCGTTTCAAGAGATATGACCATCAACTTTTCAGTCTCGGCTCATTGGCTCTCCAACCGACCGCCGTGACGAGACATCCCACCGGGGTCGCCAAAGCAAGGTATCCATCCCTCGAGCCATTCAAAAGCAATATTAATCAACCTCCATCCATTTCCTTACAAGCATTTCCCCAACAAACCAGAAATAGAATGAGAGAAAAAACATCTCACAAGTCAATCACAGCCTAAAAAGAAGGAAAAAAAAAGAATTGAAACGATTATATTAAACGATTTAGGAGGTGTGGGAGGGGAAGGGGACCTGGTAGCTATGACTGGGCGTTCGCAAGGCGCATGCGCAGACGGACGCTATCGACCCAAACATGCGCCTCGTTGCCACATGTGACCACCGCTTCTAGCAAAGCCTTGTTTTCAAGGGCTCCTGCAAAGCCATTCTTCAGTGTGGGCTTCAGGTTCTTAGTCTGTGGTCTGAAGGTTTTTTTTTCTCTCTCTGTCGAAAGCTTTCTACGAAAATTAATTCGTTTATGATGATGTACATTATCTCGTGTTTCTTCCTTCACCTTCCTGGTATTATTTGCAGATCCTCTCTTTTTTTTATCTCATTCATTTTGATTCATTCTCATAAATCCTAACCCAAATCCCTTCGTTTTGTCTTGCTTTATTTTTTCCCAAAATCCCGGGCAATAAGAAATTATTTCCGTGGAAGTTCAGATGATAACGGCCATCTTAACAGGTTTATGGAATGCAAAGCTCTATCTGAAGGTCAAATATTTCCAGTCGTTGAGGTCTTGGCTTCAGAGAAGGTCGTGCCTATTCTGTCTCTCTTTTTTTCTTTTTTTTCTCCCTTCTCTCTCTCTCTCTCTCTCTCTCTCTTCTCTCTCTTCTCTCTTCTCTCTCTCTCTCTCTCTCTCTCTCTCTCTCTCTCTCTCTCTCCATCTCTGTCTTTTCTTTCTCTTTACTTCTCTCGTTCGCCTTCTCCTTCTTCTCCCCCTCTCCCTCCCCTCTTCCTCTTCCATTTCCTTTCCCACCCCCTCCTCTCTCCTCTCCCTTTCTTCCCCCATCTCTCTCTCTCTCTCCTTCTTCTCCTTCGCCATTTCCTTCGCTTCCCATCCTATTCCCGATCCTTCACTCCCATCAATTGCAAACCATCCTTCATAAATCTTATTCCTTCTTCTTCCTTCTTTGTATTCATGAAATTCCTTATCTATTATCTCTCTCCCTCATCTTCGTCCCTCGTCACACTCCTCCTCTCCTCTCCCCTCTCCTTCCTTCACCCTCACCCTTCCCCCTCTCCCTCTCCTTCCCTCCCCCCTCCCTCTCCCTTCCCTCCCCCTCTCCCTCTCCCTCTCCCTCTCTTCTCCCTCTCCCTCTCCTTCACCCTCACCCTTCCCCTCTCCCTCTCCCTTCCCTCCCCCTCTCCTCTCCCTCCTCCTCTCCCTCTCCCTCTCCCTCTCCTTCACCCTCACCTTTCCCTTCCCCTCTTCCTCCCCTCTCCCTCTCCCTTTCCCATTATCCTAGTTGTTGACTACCCCAGTCCCTTATCATGTCAGTTCTTAGTTATTTCATTTCTTCACTATCCTAGTTCTTAACTATCCCAGTCCTTAACTATCCCAGTTTTTACCCATTTCAGTTCTTAACTTTCCCAGTTCTTAACTATCCTCTTCCTTGACCATCTCAGTCCTTCTCTATCCCAATCCTTAAGTATCCCAGCCTTTGCCTATCCCACCTCTTACCTAACCCAATCCTTCACTATCCCAGTCTTTGCCTATCCCACTTCTTACCTAACCCAATCTCTTCACTATCCAGCCTCTGCCTATCCCACCTCTTACCTATCTCAATCTTCACTATCCCACCTCTAACCTAACCCAATCCTTCCCTATCCCAGTTCTTTGCCTATCCACTCTTACCTAACCAATCCTCACTATCCCACCTCTAACCTAACCCAATCCTTCACTATCCCAGCCTTTGCCTATCCCACCTCTTACTATCTCAATCCTTCACTATCCCACCTTCTAACCTAACCCAATCCTTCACTATCCCAGTCTTTGCCTATCCCACCTCTTACCTAACCCAATCCTTCACTATCCCACCTCTAACCTAACCCAATCCTTCACTATCCCAGCCTTTGCCTATCCCACTCCTTACCTAACCCAATCCTTCACAATCCCAGTCCTTAATCCTAGCCTATTGGAATCCTTAGCCCCGAAAACCTGTTTTCCTTTAACTCAGCCTACATCCTACTTTGGGGTTTGTCTCCGACCTCAGCCTGAAGGATGAAGGATTTTTTCGTGTACCTTCTTCTTTGAGGTTATCTGTCCTTCCCAATTAGCGGGAGATTCGTTTTTTCTCCTTTCGTCTTTTTTTCTCTGTTTTTTACTTTTTTATTTTATGTTTGTTGGTTGGTTGTTGGAGGGGGGGGGGAAGGGGGACTTTGGTGTTTTTGGTTGTCGTTTTTTTTTTTCGTTATTTCTATTTGTTGATTTC